TTTGTAAATACTCTTTCTTGCATTCCAGCTATCTTTGGGAGAGAGGAACTAGCTTTAAAATACCTTCCTGTGGGGCTAAAGAGATGGTTCAGCAGTTAGAAAAGCTTCTTCAAGAAGACCGGAGTTTAGTTCCCAACACTCACATCAAGTACTTCAAAGTCAACTCCAGAGAATCCGATGTTTCCTTCTGGCCTTGTGGGCACCTGCACAGACATGGTACACAAACATGTACATATACATATACATGTACATATACATATAACTAAATAAATCTTCTTTTAAAGTATTGTTCTATAAGGCAAGTTTGTTTATCTGGGGGGAGGAGAAGGATGTGTGCTCAAGACAGAGTTTCTCTGTATAACAGCCCTGGCTGTCCTAAAACTTGTTTTGTAGACCAGGCTGGCCTTGAACTCACAGTGATCTGACTGACTCTGCCTCCTGAGTTCTGGGATTAAAGGTGTGAGCCATCATGCCTGGACAGGGCAAGTTTTAAGGACATTAAACTTTGTTAGATTTTGCTTCCATATAAACATCTGTATTTGGCCCCATTTGTTTTTTCTCTTTCATTCTGTATTTCTTATTTTTTATTTGTCTGCTTGTTTACTTGCTTGCTTCTTTTTGAGGCAGGCTTTTTCGGTGTAACCTAGACTCTCCTGGAACTCCCTCTGTAGACCAGGCTGGCCTCAAACTCAGAGATCTGCCTGCCTCTGCTTCCTGATTGCTGGGATTAAAGGCGTATTCTATCACTGCCTGGCAATGTATAAGAGTCTTTTTAAACATTGTTTTATGTGTATTTTGTCTACATGAACCATATGCATTCCCAGTGCCCATAGGAGTCGGAAAATGCTGTCAGATCTCTGGAATCAGAGTTAGCCACTTTGTAAGAAACTGTGAGTACTGGGAATTGAACCTAGGTCCTTTGGCAGAGCAGTCAATGAATGCTCTTTTCTCCTTGAAGATCTTCATTTAGATTTATGTTAATCTTTTCCCTCCTATTCCACAGGTCTTATAACTTTTTGATTGCATATTACCTTTTCCATGTCATCATTTCTTTGGGTTTCCTTCTATGTTGTTCAAAGGGAATCTGAGGTGGTTTAATGAGAATGGCCCCATAAACTCACATGTTTAAATACTTGTTCCCTAGCTTGTAGAACTGTTTAGGAAGGATTAAGATGGGTGGCCTTGTTGGAAGAGGTGTGTCTGCCTGCCTGCCTGCCTGCCTACCTGGCTGTTGCCTGCCTGCATGCCTGCTGCCTCCATGCCTGCCTGCCTGCCTGGCTGTTGCCTGCCTGCATGCCTGCTGCCTGCATGCCTGCCTGCCTGCCTGCCTGCCTGCTGCATGCTGCTATGCTTTCCTCATGATGATCATGGATTTTAACCTTCTGCAGCCCCAAATTAAACACTTTCTTTTTCATAAGTTGCCTTGGTCATAGTGTTTTGTCGTGACAACAGGAAAGTGAGGAAGACAAAAGTTGGTACTAAGGGGTGGGGTATTGCTGTGACAGGAAGCTGGCCATGCTGCTTTTGGAAAGAATATGGAAAACCTGGGGAAATTGGATTAGAAAAGCTGTTGACTGCTATAAGCAGGGCTGAATGGACATCCTAGTAAGAGCTTGGAGACAACAGTGCTAAGATCATTGAGGGTTATGGATGCTCAGCTCAAGAAACTTCAGAGGGCAACAATATTAGTGACAGTGTTAGAAACCATTCTTGTGGTGCTTGGGGAAAAAATGAGGATGCTTTCTGCCTGATAGCATATTTAAATAGTTGGACTAATTTTATAGGCAGAGGAAATTTCAAAACAGCCTAATATTAACTCTGTTGCATGGTTATTAGTAATCACATTCATGCAGAGCTACCATAAAAAATAATAAGCAGGGCAAAAAGAAACACAAAATGTATAGTTTGAGGAGGGGAAAAAGCACCAAGAAATTTGATGTCTGTACTGAAAGAGATAAGGAGAGGCCTGGTGTGAAGCGGAATAAAGGGAGTGTTGTCTTTGGGTGAAGACCCCACCCAGCTAACCCTAAAACTTGTATAAAGGAAATGCCTTTTGTATTTCTATAAAGCTGCAATGGGGGAAAATATTATGCGAATATAATTCAAGAAGGGGAACAGGCTCCAACCCAAATGGCTGAACTTGGCTTCATTGGCCAGATCATTCTGACTTTAGATCCCTGAATGATACAGGAGTAAGGAGTTGTGGAATCTTACTCTGCAGTTAAGAAAAGCCTCTGAAGCAAGGTGTTTGGCATGGGAATCCCTTCAAGAAAACCAGAGAAGCTATATGTGAATTTATAAAAATGAATCCTGGATTGGCTTGGAGACTTCAAGATGTTGGAGATGTCAAAATCATAGGAAATACTTACCAAGAAGCTTGGGACCAAATCAAGAGAGAAAGACACATGTTGTAGCCAGCAGAACTTGAAGGGAAGAGTCATCTAAGCCCATTGGCAGCAGATTAGAGCTATAGGATTTGGAGTTTGCCCTCCTGAATTTCCATTTGCCTATTAGCAACAGATTAGAGATACAGGATTTGAAGATTGCCCCGCTGGATTTCTGTCATGCCTTGGTCCAGTATTTTCTAACTATATTACCATTCCTCCCTTTTGAAATGGTAATGTATATTCTATGCTGTTTTACATTGAGATATATAATTTAATTTTTGATTTTACAAGGAGTTATAATTAAAAGTTGCCTTGGGTCTCAGAAGAAACTTAAAATAGTGTTCACACTATGAAAGACTGTGGGGACTATTAGAGTTGGACGAAAGTTATTTCGCATTATGATATGGTCACAAGCCTATAGCAGACAAGGTGTGGGGTGTGGTGGTTTGAATGAGAATGACCCCCATATGTGCATATGTTTGAATACTTGCCCCCCATTTGGTAGAGTTCTTTGGGAAGGATTAAGAAGTGTGGCCTATTTGGAGGAGTTCTGATGCTGGCACTGGGCCTGAGGTTTCAGAAACCCAGGCCATTCCCAAATAGCTCCCTCTGTTTCGTGTTTGCAGAAAGGGATATAAGCGCTCATGGGCTAACACCATGCCTGCCCGCCAGCTGCCATGTTCTCTCCATGATGGCCATGGACTCCAACCCTCTGTAACCATGCACCCCAAATTAAACACTTTCTTTTCTGTGGCCTTGGTCATGGCATTTTGTCACAACAACAGAAAAGTAAGACAGAATTATTTTCATAGATCTTAATTGGCTTGATTCTGTAGTTAGAAAACATACTGGGCAAAATGAAATGCAGCATGTTCTACCCTCATGTACAGGATATCAAAAGAAAAGAAAATTATATATAGAAAGTGGAAATGAGGGGGCTGGAGAGATGGCTCAGTGGTTCAGAAAACTATCCGCTTTTCCAGAGGACATGGGTTCAATTCTCAGCACCCAGTAACTCAAGCTCCAAAGGATCTCTCTCTCTCTCTCTCTCTCTCTCTCTCTCTCTCTCTCTCTCTCTCACACACACACACACACACACACACACATACACAAACACACACCACATGCATGCGAGCAAAACACAAATTCATATAAAATAAAATTTTAAAAAGAAAAGAAGTATACAGAGTGCTCAGTGGGTAAAACTTATATTTGCTTTCTTTGAACCTTGTTTTAAGCCATTGGCTACCTGGCTCTTAGAGGCTGGCTGATGTGATTAGCTTAAGGTTCACAGTGTACAAAGACACCATTAGTCCAATTTAAGTGCATCTTTAGGTCAAACTACTTTTGATTGAACAGAATTACACTGAGAAATGACTCCCTGTCCACTAATTCTCTCTTTAGCCATATCTAATCCAATATTAACATTACAGTGACCTTTTAAACCAATAATTATGTTAATCATTGAAAACACTATTTTTTTAAGTCATTCATTCTAATTGTCTACAATGTGGTGCTTTCGGTGGTAGTCATGGGCAGGAAAGTGAGATCAGAGTACCCCAGTAGGGAGTATTTTAACACTGACATTGTTTAGAATTGATGGCTCCTGCTAATAATAGTGAAATAATTGTTGTGTGATATCTTATATTCACTTAAAATTTTCAGTGCCATGTTATCCTTATCTGCTCCTGAAGCCTACTATTCCCACTGTGCTTACACCATTTAGCTTATTTACATTTTTGTATCAGTCAATACAAAATTGTGTTGCTATAACCAAATACCTAACATGGTCATGAGTGAGGCACTTATTTTATTTCTGGAATGAAAGGTACAATCTATCATGGTGGAGAAGGATTGTACAATTCATGACAATAGACTCATGAGCCTAAGACTTTAACTATTGATGGACAAGGAAGCAAAGAACAGACAGGAAGTGACAGCGGGCTATAAAATCTCAAGACACCCAATGATCTACTCTCCAGTGAGAGCCCAGCTCTGAAAGTTATATGTGGTGATATATTACTTATGACATATCAAAGCTCGCCTGAGGATTCAGAAAGCAAAGCCAGCCACAAGCTATAGAGGTCAGGCAATGGTGATACATACCTTTAATCCCAGAAACCATTCTAGCTAGCCAGGCAGTGGTGGCACATGCTTTTGGGTGGATTTCTGTGAGTGCAAGACCTCCCAAGGATACACTAGAGTGAATCAGCCTAAAAGATTTAACCGAGCTCATGCCTTTAATCCCTGCTCTAGAGAGGCATATAAAAGATAGGAATCCAGTGTCTCAGGCAGCATTGTGAGATTTAATCTCTAGCCATCCTGAGGATAGGCAGCAGTCTGAGATTTGCTGGAGACCTTGTGGAAACAGGATCGCCCCCTTTTGGACTGAGGTAGATGTAAGACCTAGTGGCTCAGCTGCTTTGCTTCTCTGACCTCAGCTTGAAGCTTGAACCCCAATATCTGTCTCTGGGTTTTTATTTTTGGTGTTACAGTTACACACCTCTAAGAGTGCAGCAAGACACGGAGGATAGACATTCCACATCCGAACTATGGCGTTCCATTCTTGTCCCCTCTGACTCACATGTGTATCTGGTGTCTTTTAATCATCAGCAGGCTGTCCAGGGCACGGGCCTGGCCTTCATCATCTACACTGAGGCCATTAAAACATGGAAGTGTCCCAGCTCTGGTCAGTTCTCATGCTGCTGATGCTGGGTTTGGGGAGCATGCTTGGAAACACAGCGGCCATCCTCACCCCTCTGATGGACAGCAAGGTCATCTCCAGCTACCTGCCCAAGGAGGCCATTTCAGGTCAGGACACCAAGCAGTGGAGGCGGGGCATGGGTGGGTGGCAAAATGAAAGACAATCAGTGGAAGGGTCTAATTAGGGGCCGTGTGATTCTAAGACAACTCCAGAAGGGCTGCATTGGTATAGCTGTGCTCCTGCTAGGGTAATACTCAGTTCCACTTGGGTAAGTTGTTCTAGGAGCTGTATGCACATGTAATGTGCACCAAAGAGACCCATTTTTAATTTCAACATCTTGCCACCCAGCCAGGATCATGAGAACCCTCCTGTGCCTCCGATGGCTCTATATCCAGGATAGATAATGTCATGTCTGATCACATGTCCTAGTTATCATGTGGGAAGCGTCCTCTTCCCTGTTCCTAGACTCGAAGCCTGATAGCACCTGGTATTTTTTTTTTCTGAATTTGGGTCTCTGTGGTCCACAGTACAAATGCATGTAGCTCCCAGTCCAGCACTTAATCCTCTCCTGAGGGAGCCTCCCAGTGGCTGATATTGTATGGTATGGCAGTGGGAAGGGCTACTATGAATTCAGAGGCACCATGGAAAGCCTTAGGAAGTCAGTAAAAAACCTGGAGTCAAATATTGACTCTGCCATGTTGTGCAGTTATCTGACAACACTAAGCCCTAGCACCCCCAGTATATAAGGGATCTCTGACTACTACCTTGGAGGCTTAATCTGCTCTGGTACATGACCAGAGCCTGGCATGTGAGAGCATCTATGTAAATTGTAGTTTCTTCCCAAACCTATCCTTATCTAGGGCCCCACACCACATTTAAGTCCACTTCTCACAGTCTCAGGAGCTACGTTGTTGATATCTTCAGCATTTCCAGACTTTCAGCCATTATTATAGAATATATCCACAATGAGAAGGTAGAGGGTGGTCTTGAGTTTCAGCCTAGCAGCTTTGTTCCTGCTCTAACTCTGCCTGCTCTCCCATGCCAAGGCCAGGCCCTTCCAAGCACAGAGTGACCATCTCTAGGAGGCAGTAGAGTATACTCGGAACCATCACTGATGGACAGAGTGGGTGGGCAGAGGGAATCTCACCCTAGCCCTGTGGACTGAGAGGGCTGGCACCCCCTCCCCCACCTTCTCTGGGAACTATCCTCTGGTCCACACCTGGGACCTCTGAAGGCCAACACCGGGGAGATGATGTCTCATGACCAGTTCTTCATTGGTCATCCTTCCTCAGGCAGCCTCAGCCCTTTTCCCTTTACCTCAACAGCTCCCCGAGAGAGGATCAGATGGGTTGGGGTCACATTCAAACATCAAACCAGAACAGCATCTTCCCAAGGGCAGAAGGTATGCAAACTAGAGTCCCTCCCTCTAGAGCACGAATTAATCTGTCTTTCTCTGTACTCCCAACAGATTTGAAAGTGACCTTCAGGCCATGACTTGCCGCTCCCTCAACTGGTACTGGAAGGCCATGTGGGCGTTTGTGAGTCCAGTACTCATCATCAGCCTCTATGTCTTCTACCTGAGTGACTATATCCTCACAGGGACACTGCAGTACCAAGCCTGGGATGGCACTCACGTACCCGATGTTCCTGCAGGGCTGGGAAATAAGGCAGAGACCACACAGTCACTCAGAACACAAGGGACTATTGCTGTGCTGTGAGAAGGTTCCATGTGATGGCATGGGAACTTCGAGTATTTCACAGATGCTCAATTTAGCACAGCAGAAGTGGGCTGTGAGTTTTTAACCATGATGCATGGAGAGAGCATGCCCCAAAGCATCACAGTGGGCCTTTCCCTAGAAGTACCAGTATGCTCTGGTGTGCCACACTGTACATATTAATACAGAACATTTCTACCACCACAGAAACCATTAGTCTGTGCTGAAGGTTACATAACATTTAGGGCTCTAGAATAAAGTACTAGAAAAATTGTTTCTATGGCATTCCAGGATAGGCTTCACACACATTCTCTCACATATGCTCGCAAAGGTCAGAATTACCTTTCTTCGTGGTTTTTCTGAATTGCAGGGTAGTAGACACCACAGTCTTCACTCTTTAGCCTCTTCCCCTTCATAGAAGGCTTGGGCGAACAGTTCTTTTGGACTTGATAGGAGGGACCTTCCCCTGATGCTCAATCTCTTCTCCCAGGGGCAGCTGGTGACCAAGGATTATCCCCCACATGCACTAGCTGTCATCGGTTTGCTGGTGGCTTCATCTGCCATGTGCATCACCCTGCTGGCCCTGGGGATTTTCATCTGGAATTGCCTCAAGAGGGGAGGTTCATCCCCAGTGGTCTAAGAATGGACCTCCCAGGGACGGAAGTCAGCCACTATCTGTTTCACAGTTGCTGCCTGCTGGTGGGGACACCTTGGCTGGAGTGCAGGTCTGGGACCTCCTGAATCTGTAAAGAGGATTAGGGAGCTTAGAAAAAGAAGACTACCTTGGGGAGGGGACCGCATCCCTTAGAAGACTCCCTCCATTATTTGCCATCTGAAGACTACAAGTTGTAGCCTTCTTGTTGTCAGGGGTTAAGGCCAGTACTGAAGATCATTGTCACCTAGACTCTAGGAAGCCCTAGAATTCAAGGTAAGCTGTCGTTAGAAACTTGACCATAACCTTGAGGAGCCAAACAAGCACTTCGGTTTTGTTTGTTTGTTTGTTTGTTTTGTTGTTATTTTTGTTTTTTTTTCTCAAAAGAAAACAAGATACTAATTGCTTTTCATCCAGTGTCAGAGGTTTTTGAAGCATCTAGGGCAACACATTACAATTCATCTCATTGAAGCCACAGTGAGTGTGTAATTTTTGTATTACTACACTGTACTACACTGTAAATACTACCGGGATTTAGTGTCCACTAAGGGAGAGTTTTGTTGGGATTGCAAAGGTTCCTCACAGTGGGCTGTGGCAACTCTAAACTGTACAAGGAATCTGAACAGACATTCCCATCCCTGGGGTTTCAGTGTCAGATGATCCACAAGGGTACAAGGAACTGTAACTTTTCTACAAACATCACTCACAGCCACCTTCACCTCTGTATAGTAATGATTTCTAAAATGTACATAAGTCACACAGAGCAGTGTATAACTGAAAACACTCCATATTAATGGCTGTTATTCATCCATTATGTGAATTTGTTTTCTTTTCTTTTTTTAATCATAATAAAGTGGATCAAGGTTATCCAGACTGAGAGTTCCTTCCTGTACTAACAAGCCGAGCTCATGGAATTGAAGGACTTCTTTCGATCCTTCCAAAGAGGTGCAGACACCTCTGAAGAGCCTTAGACATCACTTGGAACATCGACCAGAGAGATCTTTTATTTCTCTCTTTTTCCCAATGACAAAAGTAGGCACTGGAAAGGTCTTTGGTGTGGCAGGTGGTGGTAGTAAAGAGAAAATTCTCTGGCTAAACACTTGCTACATTTGCAGAGAAACAAAATAAGGTTCCCAGAATCCACGTTGGAAAGCCTACAGTGTCTGATAATCCAAGTTCCAGAGGATACAACATCCTTTTCTATCCTTGTTTTCACCAGCATGAACATGTACACGCCTACACAAAACACATACACATAAGTTAAAATAATATACATATAAAAAGGTAGATAGTGATGATGTCTTTCCAACAGTTGAGTCTTTTTAACAGAGGACAATAACTCACAGGACAAATTGTTCACTATCTTAGCTGCCTTCTTATTTTCATTTCAAAATGATCACTGTCCTTAAATATATGAGAAGCAGCATTTATCTACCTAAGTGTTTACTCCTGGTTTTCTCATCAGATGGATTTTAGGCTCGAACAGTGGGTGCACCCCGTGATAATACATCAGATTCTATTCCTGAACACTTAAGTGTCTGTCCCCTACTCTCAACCTAGGCATAGTGACTGCCTTTCTGCACTTGTCATGCCTTCCTAGGGTCAGTCACAGACAGGGTCTCAAAAATCATGTACCCTCAAAGGTGTAAAGAGGAACATTGTCATGTATCATTATTCTATTCTTTTTCAGTGTGCCCATCACCTCTGCCATTCTAGACACCTCAGAGCATTGAAAATTTGCAGTGTCTATGCTACTGGATTCAAGGAGCCTTTGTCAGAAAATCTTGGGAGTGAACCTGGTGCTCTTGGGTGAATCCAATGTGCAATCAAATCTGAGAGCCTGGGCAGAGCCTATTGAAGGAGAGGGGAAAGTATGCAGTGTGTTTAGACATACTTACATACAGAACAACTTTTACAAATATAAATTCACTGTTGAACATCTCTAGTTATGAGTGGGAGTGGCCTCAACAGAACACTTGTGCTTATGGAAATCAGACAGGTGAAGTAATGCTATCATGAAATACAGATGTGCCTCAGTTTACCGATCTAAAGGTAGTGGAACCTGGGAGAATGGAGCCTAAAAAGGGGGAATAAAGTCTCACACAACAGCCAACTTTATTAAGAACACCAGGCAATATCCACTTTGAGCGTTAAGAAAGATCATGTGAGTAAAGCTCTCATGAGTTCAAACTGAATATAATCACAATGACAGGCTGCACAGGGAAAAAAACCCCATGAATTTCTATAGAGGTGTATAAATAAGTACTAATAGCCAGTTGGAATGAATAATCTGAAGCAAACTCACTCCTATATGATACACCTGGGAGGGGTGTAGAAGAATAATCCTCCAAGAACAATTCAGTGTTTTGGAGAAACTGAGGTCACGAGACTCTTATTTTCTTTGGAGTTTTCTCACAGGTACTCAGAATTGTTTTTCTTTCTTTAGAATGTTTCTTCCCTTTTCCATTTTTTCTTTTTTAATTTTATGTGCGTTGGTGTTTTGTCATGGGTGTCAATTCCCCTGGAGCTGGAATTACAGATGGTTGTGAGCTGCCTTGTGGGTGCTGGGAATTGAACCCATGTCCTCTGGAAGAGCAGCCAGTACTCTTAACCACCGAGCCTTATCTCCAGCCCCAGCACTCAGAATTCTCACAGGACTACATTCTTGGATTGTGTTAGGATACTCTTCCACCCACATTGTGGCTACATCCCGCTAAACCCACTTTAGATTGAAGAGCACCCTAAATTAAAAATGCATTTATTACACCTACCTTCCTATCCATCACACTCAGAGCTGTCAAATGATCATCCCAGAGGCCATGTGATCACTGGGGTTCCCAACATCTCTACAGAATACCCTCTTCAGATTGCTTGCCCACAAAATGTTGGGTCTCAAATTATAGCTTCTACAGATTTCATTTCCCTTTCACACATTGTAGAGTCAGAAGACACTAAGCTGAACTGGTCAGCCAAGGAGCTCTCCACATACAGTCAAATGCCAGTTTCTCCATGGGGACGTAGCTTTGCTTTGTTTTGTTACTGTAAAAAGAGAAAGAAAGATCACTGTAGAATGATAAAAGATCAATTATAATGTTTAAAAGCTTACTCATATAACAGCTGTAGAATTTACATTCTTATCAGCACACTGAAATTCCCTCAAATCAAATCTCAAATAATGTAGTCGTAATTAGACGTCAACATGAATCAGGAGGGTGGGATGCACCTGTAACCTACCAACTTGAGAGGCTGAAGCAGGGAGACTAAAGACCCGACCTAAACAATCAACCTAGCTAAACCCCATCTCAAAAGGGGAGGCTGAAGCAATGGCTCAACAGCTAAAAGGCTGTTCTTGTAGAGACCATGGGTCCAGTCTCCAGCACCCAGATGGTGGTTCACAGCCATCCACAACCCCAGTCCCAACTATGTATTATGTATATACATTATGTATGTATGTACATATACATATGTATATGTAGAATATGCAAATAAAATAAAATCTTTCTTTTTTAAAGGACAAGAATTGCAACACAACCCAGAACAAACAAACAAACAAAAACTCTCAAGGTCTTGCCAACAGTGCTAAGGAGTTTGGACTCTCTCATACAGGGAAACTAGAAACTCTTATGATTAATTAACAGTGGACTCACCAGGATGAGCAAATGATTCAAAATTGTATAACCTTAGTTTGCAGGGTAAGACTATAGAACCCTGTGTAGAGCTATACCTGCTTTCTCTCCTTCCTCAGGAGTTCTGGCGAATCGGCTTTATCATGCTCTGTATCGTGTTTCTGATAGGCACAGTGAAGTTCCTACCCACAGGCAGTCATCCATTAGCCAGAATTGCATCCTGGGAACACTCAGGTGGGGCTAAGCCTGACTGAGTCACCTGCACTGGGAATCTGGACACCCCAGAGAACTGAGATTCATCCCCTTTGTTGAGATAATTTTTAAATACAGTTATGACCGAGGTCTGAGTGATGTGTAAATTTTAAATCAGACACAACGCTCAAAACTCATGATTTATGATTGCTTGTCAGTTGTGCTCCTGAGGCTACCTGTGTCACTGTACGTGCAAGGTGGGAGGGAACCCAAAATAATAGTGTCCCATTGCACTTATTGGTAGCTCAGGATGTGCCATCGTGGGAGCGTTTATGCTATAGAAATTGAAAAGCACATAGATCAGAGACTTTCTGCAGTTTCCAGTTCACCATCAGCCTCCAGCAGACACAATCGTATCTTCGTGAGACATTTTGCAGTAATCCTTAATAGTCTGAGGAGCCCAGAAATCCTGGAGTTTGAGAGTCATGACTCAGAAAAAAGAATGTGGCCAAAGGTCAGTGGGAGGGTGTGAACTGGCCACCACTGAGATTAAGGCCAGGGGGGAGGCACCAGCTGACCAGGGAAGACTCACACCGGGGACTGACAGGGCAGAAAGCTGAACAACAGGAAACACAAGGGACTGGAATGCAGAAGAGAGCACAGGAGTGGGCCCATTCTACCCTGAGTGTTGTCTCAGAAGATGGAATCACCCTTGGCACATGTGGTCTCCCTGCCAGAAGATGAGGAGCTGCAACCCAAGGACAGCCCTGAATGCCCTGACCAGCACACAGGAAGACTGGGCCCAACCAACTATGCCCAGCCTGGGGTTGGGGAGAAGGGGTGACCAAAGTGGGACACCCCAGCAGTTCTTGCTTACCTGCATATCCTATGCCATGGGCCTGAGCAATGTGTGGCCCATCCACCACCTGTTCCAGATGTACTGCAGAGGTGAGTGCAGTTTGCAGGGACAGCAGTGTCTGAGTAGCTGAGTGCTTCACATCTCAAACCTTCACCTTCATGGAATCTGTATGAATTATAGGACTAGTGGATGTCACCCCCAAAGAGCTGGCCCACAACCCAGGAAGGTTGGGCTTTGCTTTTGCTTTCATGGACAGTGCTTGTGTGCTGTCAAAAAAAAAAACTTTGCCTTTCCTAACTTGAAGTCAAAAAAGCTTTCTGTTCCTCCTCTGAGTTCTTAACCACCGGGTTGTGAATATGGAGCTGTGTTCTACTTCCTTTCCTTCCTTTTTTTTTTTTTTTTTTGTGTGTGTATAAAATGTGGTACCTAATAAGGTTCATTATATTATGTTGTTGTATTGTTGTTTTCATGACAAAAAAATTGCAGAGCTCAGATTACATCCTTGAAGTTTGAGTAAGTGATGGAAAGGTTGCTAGGCAGGGCTGAGAAGGTGCCCACACTCCCACCTTGGTAAGAACAAGCAGGCTGTCACAAAGACAAGTTGCTGTGAGCCATACCAGACCTGCTGTAGATGCTACTTGG